CACGACGTACTGAGCAAATCGCACCCCACCTCCCCCCCAAATTACTTGGCAAATAGAACACACCATTGCTGTACTGCCTGTTTGTATCAGAGGAATAATTTGTGAACACCTATCTGACATTTAATTACAAAAAACATTTGTACTGCTTGCGTACCAAATGTATAGCTAAGTCCCATTATGTCACAGATAATAAACTGTTTTCCATAACTTGGTGAATTTGCTTCAAGCCTTTGCTGTGATTCTTTCACATATCATTCCTGAAACTGAAACAGTGCTCCGGTTTGCAGTTAGACACAATGCACTAGAATTCAGAAGCATTTCAGAGCATTGCTTTCTGGTAAAAAGGATTTTAAAGCTGCTCAAAAAAAAAAAAAAAAAAAAAAAGAGACACAATCAAACAAGCCCTGCTTTTTACCAAAAGAACCTTTCTGAAGTTAAGATATTGCTATCTAAATGTAAAACATAACAGGAACAAGACTGACATAGCCATCTTCACAAAAGTCATCAGAAACCAGGACACAAAAAGCCCTAAGTCTTTGACCATCACAATTTGAACTAAAAGGGTAGTTGTCTTGGTTGACATCAGTAGAAAGCTGTTACTCTGCATTTGGATCTGCCACTGACAGAGGAAAACAATTGTCCCCCCCAAAAAAAGTTACCCTTCTCTGAAGAAAGTTCAAGGGCACCCTACTCCTCCACAGGCAGGTCCAAATAGCCCAAAGCATTTTACCAACAAAAAAGTAAAGTCAGATTACACAAAAATTGTATCTGACCAATTCTATTTTTTTTTTAAGCAAACAAAGTATTCACTAAACCTAACTATGAACAAATCAGAGAACAGCTACTTGGCAAATATCCTGAGCCACAGGAAATCTGTACGAAGGCTGGTTTGTCAGGACCACGACTGTGCTATCCTGACGCTGATGAGAGCTGAACTCCACAAGCAGCTCCACGGAAAGCAGCAGCGCTGCTCACACAAACGTCTACCCTGACAGTCACAAATGGATGCACAGCTGTATACTTCCAGCCTTTTGTCTGGAGTGGACAGACAGGCTCCCCAGTTGTACTCCTCCTGTTTTCTTGTCCACAAGACAGTTACTCCTGGAAGAAAATACTCTGGTAATAAGTCTATTCCTAACAAGACCCCTGGATGTAAACTGCAACATGGAGCACAAACACCTATGCAAAGCAAGTTCATCAGCAACTCTCTAGGCACACGAGCTCTGTCTGAGCCTCTGGCAGTCCAGCTCTCATTAAGAAAGCCACCTTGCACAGAGCAGCTAGAGGTCCAGTTTCTCGGCTTGCCTCCATCACTTAACCTCTATGGTGCTGTCCTGCTCCCTCTAACCACAACTCCCATAGAATGAAGGCAATCCAGGACCTGTTAGAGAGCTATTCGGAGCCAAACTAGAAAAAGCTTTTTCTTCTTTCATAAAGATGTATTTCACAGAATCAAAGAATGGTAGGGGTTGGAAGGGACCTCTGTGGGTCATCTAGTCCAACCCTACTGCCGAAGCAGGGTCACCCTACAGTAGGCTGTAGAGGACCTTATCCAGGTGGGTCTTGAAGAGAAGGAGACTCCACAACCTCCCTGGGCACCCTGTTCCAGTGCTCTGTCACCCTCAGAGGGAAGAAATTCTTCCTCATGTTCAGACGGAACTTCCTGTGCTTCAGTTTGTGCCCATTGCCCCTTGTCCTGTCGCTGGGCACTACTGAAAAGAGCTTGGCCCCAAACAACAACACTTTTCAATAACACATTTCAACACCTAAAAGGTGACTATCAGAGACCAGAAAGCACAGAATGATTTGTTAATGGAGATACTCTCCCCTTCCAAAAGCTACCAACAATTTCTCTATTTTCTTGCAATCTTTCAGAAATTTAGAAATTACTATTAATTCTACCTGTCTATGACTATTCCATCCTCCAGAACCTTTCTGTCCTCAGACAGTAGTTACAAGGCTATCAACACAAACGCTGAGCAGAAAATTCAAAACATATCCTGAAGACTTCTCCAGTCAACAGTCTTTATTAGGTCTTATGCTGTTTGCTGGTTGCTCTGTTGAAGTTAATCATGATAACAAAGCAGCAGCAACAGTGAAAATACTCTAAACAGACACTTGCTAGCAAGGAATGGTCTCATCACTTACATAGACACCCCTGAACACAAGCTCTCAAACAATGGAACAGTCCATACAATGAATTTATTATATTCCATGTTGCCTTTCCTAAGCAAAGCAACAAGAAAATTAAGCATTTCACCAGTCAGATGAAGAATTAAAGTGAGGGATGGAGGATGAAAGAATAAATCAATTTTCAGCATAATTCGCATATCAATAGACAGGCTATGCATATCTTCAAAACTAATGCTGCAGTCTGATCAGCGCAAATAGCTCTTCTAGATGGAGCCCCACAGACGGCACAGTAATTCATAGGCAAATTTTCCTGGAGGTCTGGACTCTCAGTAGGCCATACAGATAACACTCTCCCTTGCTGCAGCTTCCATCTTACAAAGACCTCTACCCTGCACAAACACAAGCAAAGAGATTTCTGACTCATTATTCTAACTTAACACACTTCATACAGTCAGGAAGACATTTTTCACTTCTTTTTCCCCCCCTAATACACAACTTACTTGCACTAAGAAGAAGCAGACACACTTACTCCCAGGAATCTGAGAGGAAGCATCCAGCTTCCTTTAAACAGAGTCCCTCTTCAGGTGTGCTAGCCCCAGGGCTGGCCCAGGTCCAACCTCTATGGTGGAAAGGTTAATCCATACAGCCCACAGACATTATGGTGTCAAACAATGAAGAGCTAGTATCTTGTGACAGTTGGTGCTAATGGGAAGCTTACAACCTCCTTCCTAATAATCCTGGGTCTGACAGCTTGCTCCTAGCTCTCAGTAACCCTAAGAGTAGGCACATTCTCATAGGCGTAAAAGCTTCCTGATGTAGAAATGTCAACACTGCATACACTGAAAATCCTACGAAGGGTAGGTACTACTGGAGTTTGTTTCCTGAAAATTCTCAGCCTGTTTCCAAACTCAGCTACACTAACACAAACTGTGGGTCACTAAAATTATTCGCAGATAAAACAACAGAGGTCAGAGGAGGTTGAAGACTGAGCTGTGAGCACTTGTGAAGAGAATCCTACAGAAGATAAATAGCGAAGAGCTCCAATTCCACAGAGGCTGAGCTGGTAATGTGCCATCCCATCACCTGGCATTTTGTGTGAACATTTTAAAAAGCCACTTTTCAGAAAGCAAGAACAATTTCTTTCACATTAAAGGCTCCATAATTAGATCCCTAGGACTGAAGCCAGGTGTGTTTATACTTCAGGTAATTTGCTGAGTTCTATTAGCATTTAAATAATCAAAGCTAACCTTTGAAGTTAGCATGCCAGTCAGATGGGGGAAGCTCATCTCTAGCTGTGTCATTTCCAGCTGTGTCATTTCCATCTCCACTAAGCAGCAGTGCATGAATCTACAGACTAGGATTACAGAAGTCACAGAGGAGAAAAGCCTGCAATAAAATTACTCCTACACAGACAGAAACATACAGATATCTTTCTCAAATGTGTCTGCTTTTGGGGTACCTGTTTATAAGTGATGCTAGGCAGCAATCAGCTTTGGTCTCATCCAAGACTGAAGTCTGCCTAGTTTATTATTGGAGAGCTAGGTTATATTTATTCCCCTTGGTCATCACACAGATCCTATACACTCTCAATCCTCTATCCCTTTCCCCTCCTTTACTACATACAAAATTGAGGATGATACACATCCTCACCTTAGCTATCTGCTCTTGTTCTGTATCAACATAACACTCCCACCTGATGCAAGCTTCCTTCATTCACGTACCATACTTTCAAAACATACCTCATTTCTCTGCCAGATTCTTCACTGCTGTGGTGCTTTAAACAAAACTGCTTGCCAACTGGTAAGACTGCCGGATGCAGAGACCACTGTCCCACACCAGCTGATATTGCTAGTTCGCTTCCAATCTAAGATAAATTATGTCAGCTGTAGGTAGATTTGTGGAACAAACCTAGAACAAGAAAATGGGGGAAGGAGATGTAAAAACATAAAGTATGTTGTTGCTTGTTCATACAGCACCTAGCAGTAATAAGTCCACAACAGCTTAGTTCAAACCCTCTGAAATCAGAGGAAATGCTTTCTTTGGCTTTGCAGAGCTTTAGGACAGTCTCTGAAATAAGGGCCCAAGCAGAAACCACTGCATATCATGTGAAATGAGAGAGATTTGTTAGTGTACTGGCTAAGCAAACGAGGAGGGCAGAAGGCAGAGACTTAGTGTAATTGCTTTAATATTATCCAGGCAGTGACTGAAAGGACCCCGTCTGCTGCTCTACCCGCTGGATATCGTGGGCTCTGCCTTTCATTCTGTAAGGATCTAAACAGGTCATCTTGATTTGCACCCCAGGACAAGTGTAAATTGCAC